TCCGGATATATATATAAATGATATGTTTATTGCACTTGTAAGTTACATATAAAATAATGTATTTATAAATGTTGTGAGCAAGGGTGGACTTATCGCTGACAGAGATCTAGTGGAAAAGAAAGAGATAAAACAGTTCAGCAACTAAAACAGCTTTATAGAAGAGAGATTTGACGTCTTCATTACTAAAGGGAGTAAGACGGAAATATAATAAATTCGAAATACACTTAAACCAGTGATTCTCAACCTTTTTTTTTTTGTTGCGGCACATATTTAACGATTTCAAAATTTGGCGGCACACAAAGGAAAAGATAAAAATTATTTACTTACCACAACACACTGCATAAATAGTTTATGACAGAAATTTTAAATATTTGCAAAATTTGGCGGCACACTTTTAAAATTTGGCGGCACACAAAAGTGCCGCGGCACAGTGGTTGAGAATCACTGACTTAAACCCTAAATTTACTTGAGTGCTGTTTGAAATAACCAGAGGGCCCACCATGAAATGTTTTCCGAAATTTCGGATCCGAACGAAACAAAAATTTGATGTTAAAATTACTTGTTCGCATACCGTTTAAAAATATTATAAATGCTAAAGTATCATTCCTTTACGCACACTCACAAACGAAAGTTGTATTTGACTTTGTGTATTTTTTTTTAATCACTTATGTTATCTCGCTTTTCTTGTATATGTATGTTGTAATTTGTGTGCTGTAAGTAAGTAATGCAAATAAATTATCTATCTATCTATCCTTTTTTACTTTTACGATAGGATTTATGACAAATGAAACGTTAAGCTCAATTTATAAGGTCGATTTTGGTACGAATAAAAATACGAAATTGAGCCCGAAAATTCGGAATTTCATATCATGGTAGAACCCCAGGTTTTTTTCTCTATTGGATAATTAAATTTATAAGCAACGCGCCTACATCCGTTCGCGACAGCCTCTCCCTGGTCCTAACGACATTTTAAGGCTTCGTTAATGTACAGAGATCGGATCGATCCTGAATCGGTCACTGATCGGCACGGAATTGCTTTTGGCTCGAAGTGGAATTGAATTTTAAAAGTGTATCTAAAAAAAATACAGGTTAACTTCTTTTTGGATATGTTACGATATATATTTGTTAATTTTTAACAGATTTTTAGGGCTGTTTGTACAATTTTGTTTTTTATACGACTTAGAATGGCAAACAAGCTGACGGCCCACCTGATGGAAAGTGGTAACCGTCGCCTATAGACATGAGCAGTACCATAGACATAACAGAATATACTGTTCCGCCCATGATACCCCCCATGCGTTGCCATTCCTGAGGACTCAGGTGTTATTCCTCTGTACCCAGTAAATTCACGCCATATCCCACCCTTCAAACCGAAACACGGCCATGCAAACACAACTGCTTCACGGTTGAAACACGAATGGGACAGAGGTACCCAAGCAATCGACTTTTGTACAAAGTCTCCCTCTGGTGACAATTTACAGTATTCATTTTTTTAGTTAATAATAATCGAGTCACTATTAAACTATCACTAGTCACTATTTTCCCACAAATGAAGTCACTTTTTTTGCGAGAGACCAACTTTATAAGCATTTTTTTTTATACCACTGAGGTGGCAAACAAGCATACGGCCCACCTGATGGTAACTGGTTACCGTAGCCTATGAACACGTGCAATACCAGAGGTATTACGCGTGCGTTGCCGACCCTGAAGAAACCTCTTTACCCCCCTTTTGAATTTAGCAGTAATATATAGATAGATAGATATGTAATTTAAATATTGCCTATTACACTTTATTTATATATTTCACATAACTATTCTATTGTATAAATATAATAAACGTTAAACTTGTATATAAATATAATAAAATAAAAATAAAAGAGGATATAAATATAAAAGATGAATAGATGAATGTTTGTTACTCTTTCATGCAAAAACTATTGAACGGATTTGCATGAAACTTGCTACAAGAGTGTATTGTATTCTTATTTAGTATATAGCTATAGGCAGAGTCGAGGGATAAAACTAATTGATTATATATTAAAGTATAAATAGATAGATAGATCGTTTATTTGTTTGTTACTAATCACACACAACATGTACATAAGAATAGATAATACACAAAACAACATAAGATTTATAAAATTGTGTTATTATGTGTGATCTGCAGCAATACAAAAAGGTCGAAGCTCAGCGTGGAACATTGTTCAAGGAACAAAACACTGATTTTCAGCTTTAACCCATTTGAGGGTACTATTTAATGATACTTATACATTATATATAATTTATTGATACATATACAAGGGAGGAGAGGAGATTGTTAGTAATGGGGTTAACAACGCCATTGCTAGCAATATACCCTATCAGGTCAACCTCCACGCGGTTCCCCCTGGAAACCATCTTGAACAATTCTTGTTGAATTCGTCACAATGGGCTAATAGACCTGCTTTCATGCTCACCTATCATTCCCCACTAGTGCCCCGTCAGCGTATACCGATAGCGCAGGCGGGGTTACCATTCCATTATCGTACATTAAAAAAAAAACATTTTTTCATCAAATCTTTTCCATGTAGAAAAGATTTAAACGCGTTTCAGTCGCGTGTAACTAATTAAATTTTCAATTAATTATTAATTTATATAAATTTTGAATTAAGTAATATTTTAAGATTATTTTGCCGTGTGGTCCCGGCATAGAATAGGTCACCCCTTCCTTTCCCGTGGATGTCGCAAGAGGCGATTAAAAAAAACTTAATAGTCGAGGAACAGACAGTGTCCCTCTTAAAACATATCTAAAAGCCTAACTGCGGTTACCAACCCGCCTGCCAAGCGTGGCAACTACTGGAAAAACTCCCCTTATAGGGAAGGCTTATGTCCAGTAGTGGACAGTTAACGGCTGAAATTATAAATGATAAATTAATTTCTATTGTAATTTATTATGATCAGTTAATTACTTAAAATGGGTTATTTATTATTAAGTACTGTTGCTTAGTGAAAGAAATACGAATGGGACAGTGGTACCCGTGCAGTTGAATTTTGTACAGTTTTCCTTTAACAAGCGGCTGAATGATGATAAATCACTATAGTTATTCTAATGATTAGATCATTATAGTCAGTAATTAACAGCGTTTAATACTTCCATCCATTAATCTATACTTATAATAAATCTGTAGAGAGGTCAATTCTGTACATGAAATATATTTACAAAATAACTATCAGGCGATGATTAGTGATCGATACTGATGCCAAAAATGCAATCAGTAAAATTTTTGTCTGTCTGTCTGTATGTTCGTTATAGAAACAAAAACTACTCGACGGATTTTAACGAAACTCGGTACAATTATTCTTCATACTCCTGGGCAGGTTATAGTATACTTTTTATCACGCTACGATCAATAGGAGCAGAGCAGTGAGGGGAAATGTTGGGAAAACGGGAGAAGTTACTCCATGTTTAAGCTTCCGTCGCGTGTGCAACCTTAATCCACCCGTGCGAAGTCGGGACAGGCCGCTAGTTAATTATATTTTTATAATATAAATTCGAAATTAGTAAATGGAGTGAGGACCTCAAATGCATTGCAGGGAGTCAGTGGATGCAGGTGGCTCAGGACCGTTCCTTATAGCAGTTTATGGGGTAGGCCTATGTCCAGCAGTGGACAGATGATGGCTAATACGACGACGATGAATTTGTAATTAAAAATATGCTAAAAGTTAAAAAAAAATTGTTTAGAATTACAAATTATTTCTAATATTTATTTTATTTTTCTATTTTATGGAAGGCAGGCGTGAGAGATATGTATGTATGTATGTATGTATATACTTTTTGTATTTATTTTTTAGTATTTTAAATTAGTATTTTGTGTTAGTGCCTAATTTACACGCGAGCGAAGTCGCGGGCAAAGGTTTGTAATTAAATGATATTTATTTATGATTATTTGTAAATACAGTATTTGATCGAAATCTTTTATTTTATTTCTAAATAGCAACATACAAGTTTCTTGACCGAAACTATTTTTCGAATTAGACGGTAGATTAGAAAAAAAAGTTTGTCGCCGTGTAGCGATGTAACCTCTTAATAAATCACTCTGAAATTTAGTATACACGGACTATATGGGACTGACTATCATAGGATTTTATACCGATCAGTAAACCTAGCCCGGTCACGCGGAGTCGCATGTAAAAGCTAGTTTATTAGCCATTTGAATAAATATATCAAGTAACAAAATTTTTATTTTAAACTAATCTGTTATGTATATTATTAAACAAAACATTGTATGTTTTGTTATTTGCCCAAGATTAACTCTTAATAGCACCATGAAATCATGATTAGTTCGAGTGGAGAACACCATAAAAAACACTATAGACCTAGCCACAAAACAAACCCATGGGCGTAATTCTCGCGTGTGCGTTTAAAAGGCCGTAATTTTCCGATTCGCATTTTTGCCTCCAGTGCGTCGGGGTACCTCCCAAACAAATTGGGGTTGTTCCGCATTCATCCTATGGCCTTTCGTCTCCCCGGGGATTTTTTCCTAACTCAACCGACTTTATTACTAATTGTTTTTATATTGTTCAATAATTTCCTAATTGATTCTTAATTTTATCAAATGAAGAATGTAAAAGGACGAGTAAAGATTTCTCATGACTAAGAAAATGTTAAAAAAATACATTTGATTGAGTTAAGAATTTGTTTGGGACAAATAAAGAATTTGGTATTTTATAAGAGGAGACGTTCTACAAATATGGAAGACACCTAACAGCGGGTATCAATAAATCATTCGAAATTTAAAATTGAAAAAAAAACATGAATTAAATTTAGAACAATATTTTTTTCCACAAAACAGATCGGCGGTTAAGGCTGTATTGTGAGGCTCTCACAGCGAAAACCCGTATTGGCGGAAATCGGCGATTTAGCCGAGACGGGTTTTAATTTAAACCATCCGGCGGCCAACCGGTCGAGCACCGTTTCATTCATAAAAAATATATATATATTTATATTACTATGTACACACCATTCACTGACACAACACTTCAACTGCCACTGTGATCCAAAATTCGCAAACAAAAACAAAAATCGAACGACGCACCGACGCGAGCGAAACGGATAAACACTACGCACGTATGTCTGTCTCTGTCTACGCGATGCCACAGGTGTGTGGCGGGCGCGGCGCGACGCACGTCCACTCGCTGCAGACGCTGAGGGCTGTTTGAGCTAGCCAGGAGCGGGGAGGCTGCGCGGGGAGCGGATCACTACGCCCGGCCCGGGTAGAGCCTGCGTGAACCTCGTAGCGTGATGAGGGTTGCGCTACGACGCGTTCGAAATACGAACGCCGTGTATTCTTTTTTTTTCAAATTTAAATTAATATTCTCATTTCAAAATAGTCCGTAGCTATATATGTTTTTCCGTTGAAATTTATACTGGTTATCATATTCGGATATGTTTTCTTTTTTTTTTTAATTTTCTTTGAGTTTTCGTTATTTGGCTGTGTTCGGATTCCATTGAATTTGAGATTGCGTAGTTGTATATACAGAGAGGTAATTACGTATTACCTATATTTTTCACAACGCCGAACTTTTAATATAATATATACAAGGTTATTTTTATTCCATAATAAAATAGATAAAATAATACTGTTATTTTAACTTCAATCACTAGATGGGTTTATCGTTTGTAATCTTAGAATTGTAGTATTCGGGTTTATTCAAAATATGTTCTTTTCTTAACCGACTTCAAAATAGGCGGAGTTTCTTAGTTCGATGGTACTTTTTTATGTTTGTTACCTCTTAACTCTGTCATTTATAGACCGATATGGATTTATTTTTTATCTAAAAGAATATGCTTTTAGATTGGTCTTATAAAAGTTTTATCAATATCGGTTTAATAGTTTAATTTTGAAATTAAAATAACTGGAGGGAGACTTTGTACAAAAGTCGATTGCTTGGGTACCTCTGTCTCATTCCTGTTTTAACCGTAAAGCAGTTGTATTTGCATGGCTGTGTTTCGGTTTGAAGGGTGGGATATGGCGTGAATTTACTGGGTACAGAGGAATATCACCTGAGTTCTCAGAAATGGCAACGCATGGACGAAACAGTATACTCTGTTACGTCCATGGTACTGCTCATGTCTATAGGCGACGGTTAACACTTTCCATCAGGTGGGCCGTCAGCTTGTTTGCCATTCTAAGTTGTATAAAAAAAAAAAACTGGTTTTGCCACAATTGGCGTCAATTTTTGTATTGTTTCATTTTATCGAGCCAACTTAATTACTGATTACTTTTAATCAATCGTATTAAATAAATAGATATGTATTTTTATTTTATTTTTTATTTATGCTTTTAACTAAATTATATAGTAGATATTTATTTATTTATTCACAATGTGGTCCCAGCATAGAATAGGCCACCCCTTTCTTTCCCGTGGTTGTCGTAAGAAGCGATTAAGGAACTTAAAGGTCGAGAGATTAGCAGCAGCGTCCCTCTTAAAACATCAAAGCCTAACTTCGGTTGCCAACCCTCCTGCCAAGCGTGCCAACTACTGGCAAAACCCCCCCAAGGGGACGGCTTATTAAATTAAAAGACAATAAGGTACAAAAGGCGAACTTAATGTTAGTAGCGTTCTCTACCGGTCAACCTTTGGGATGAACAGTGGATCACGGACGCGCTACTTTTTTTTTATACAACTTAGAATGGCAAACCAGCTGACGGCCCACCTGATGGAAAGTGGTAACCGTCGCCTATACACCACCCTTCAAACCGAAACACAGCCATGCAAACACAACTGATTCACGGTTGAAACATGAATGGGACAGAGGTACCCAAGCAAACGACTTTTGTACAAAATCTCCCTCAGGTAGGAAAAATAATAATATTAAAAAAATATATCACAGTAATTAGTTAAACCGTTAAGACTCTAAGAGATTATAAACAAACTCACATTTATCCAAATATTAGAAAGGGATTATGAATAAGGGATTTTTTTGATGGGTGAAAATGATATGGTAACCCCACCTGCGCTAACGGGATACGCTGGCGGAGCACCAGTGAAGGGTGATAGATGAGAATGAAAACAGGCCAGTTAGCCCGTCATGATGAATTCATCAGGAATTAACCATTATAGTTTCCAGGATGAACCGCGAGGAGGTCGAACTGGGTGGGTATATTGCTAGCAATGGGATTCTCAGTCTCCATTACTAACAATCCCTTCCCCCCCTATTAATAAGAGATATAATATAAAATGTATCGAAACGCATCTTAATTTATTATTAACTGAGCTTGGTGCAATGTATGTCACCAGGTAACCACTCGACCTGTCATCCGAAACAATTCTGTGTCAGACACAAAACACCTGTCGATGCCGAAACCAGAGGGATACCAAAAAAGCGACCTCTTCAAATCGAACGTGTATTAAAAAATATTATCAAAACACAAATGCCATTTAAATTTCGACTCTATTTAGTATGAGCATAAGAACGTTGCTTACTACTGTAGACTGGAATGAAGTGTTTAAATTTGGAATATGATATTTTCGAATGATAATTTTAAATGAACAATCGATTTTGAACTTTATGTACTTCTCAATAAGGACACGGGCTCAGTTCAGTGACTCCACATGTTTGATGTTGTGAGGAAAAAAACGGGTATCAGGAAAAAAAGTGAAACGGGTTGCGTGTAAACAAAAAACCGGGACAAGATGCTACCTTTTTGGCATTTTTTTTTTCTTTTCTTGTTTCTTCAGCGTTGTAATTTATCAGTAGTTATGTAATATAAACATTCTTTTCGGTATCTGGTATTTTTTGTACTCCTTTATTTGTACAAATAGGTTTACAAATTAGTATTGATTCAACAATAAATTACTTCAATTTGTATTCTTAGGTATACTTATTATTTTTAGCGTACTTTTTTTTTATACCACTGAGGTGGCAAACAAGCATACGACCCACCTTATGGTAAGTGGTTACCGTAGCCGTACTTAATTATACCGAATCAAAAATTTCATTTTCTAAAATTGTTACCAATCTCAAAAAATATAATATACCAGCGACACGCCCCGGCTTCGCACGGACGCAATGCTGATACTAAATATACTATATAGCGGTTTAAAAATTAACCTTAATACCGACTAAAGTTTGAACAAACCATTTAAAAAAAATTGTCACGCAGCAAAGCACTTTTTTTTTTAAAAAAAAAAAAGAATTAACTATAGTATTTAAATAAATACTATAATACAATTTTGAATATATACCAAAAAAAATTTATTTATTTACGACATCACATTAGAAACCTGTAAATTTATCAATGTTCCTCTACAATATTATGCATGTATTATACATATAAACCTTCGTCTTGAATCACTCTATCTATTAAAAAAACTGCATCAAAATCAGTTGCGTAGTTTTAAAGATCTAAACACACATAGGGACGGACAGCGAGAAGCGACCTTGTTCTATACAATGTAGTGATAATTGTGACAAATACGCTCGTAGGGTAATTTCGTACATGTGCAGTTTTTACTTTTCGATAGATACCCTCACTTCCCCTTTAATTTTTTTATACAACTTAGAGTGGCAAACAAGCTGACGGCCCACCTGATGGAAAGTGGTAACCGTCGCCTATAGACATGAGCAATACCATGGACATAACAGAGTATACTGTTTCGCCCAAGACACCCTTGATGCGTTGCCATCCCTGAGGACTAAGGTGTTACGTCTAACTGTACCCTGTAATTCAACATTATTATCCCACGGATGACGTAATACTAAAACATAACTTACTATATCAAAGCAAACCGGATAACAACACCTGTACTGTCTGTTATAGGGGACAGTGAACGGTAGAACGGTAGGTTTGTGAACGGTGAATGTAATATGGTGACATTTACTGTACCTTTGTCCTTGCGTTCGAAGATGCGCTTAGAATGTAAAAGGGCAAATGGATTTAGTTATAATTAACCGATTTTGAAATAGGAATCAACTGGGGGTAAAGGGATTGTTAGTAATGGAGACTGAGAATCCCATTCCCATTGCTACCAACCAGGTCGACGTCCTCGCGGTTCCCCCTGGAAACTATCATGGTTAATTCCCGATGAATTCATCATGATGGACACGGCAGCTCACCTGCAATGCCGCTGGTGTTGTGGATGATCATGGGCGGCGGTAGTCACTTACCATCAGGTGAGCCGCATGCTCGTTTGCCCCCTGTGTTGTAAAAAAAAAAAAAAACTGGCCTGTTTTCATTCTCATCTATCACCCTTTACTGGTGCTCCGCCATCGTATCCCGTTAGCGCAGGCGAGGTTACCATACCATTTTCACCCATCAAAAAAAATAGGAATCAACTTCCAGCAGCAGTTTTTCCAAACCGATACGACATCTTAACCTTGAAAGAAAAAGCGTATTTCTTTTTAAAAGGCCGGCAGCACACCTGCAATGCCGCTCATGTTGTGGGTGATCATGGGCGGCGGTAGTCACTTACCATCAGGTGAGCCGCATGCTCGTTTGCCCCCTGTGTTGTAAAAAAAATAATTGTTATGTTCGTTTTACTACACTAATATTATAAAGAGAAAAGATTTGTATTTCTCTGTGTATGTATGTTTGTAATGAATAAACTCAAAAACTACTCTACCGATTTCAAAAATTCTTTCCCCATTAGAAAGCTACATTTACCCTGAGTAACATAGGCTATATTTATTGCTAGAAAAGATTAGGGATCCTTACTAAAACTTTAGTAACGTAACTCGAGGTGTAAAAAAAATGCTATAAAATATCTTTGGTCGCGTGCGCTGCGGAAACTATTGGTGATAGAACAAACGTATGTTCTACAATATTGAAGAAATAGATTCCATTACATTCAATTACATTCCATTTTTAAATTCCAGGACAGATATGAGTTTACATAGTAATTTATCTGGCCGCAAAACACGACAGATATGGATTTTCATACAACTTTTGCCGGCCGCTGCCCGCATGTATCTGGCCAGTACGGCAATTTTGATTTATCTCGAAGAAGATTGTCAAAATAATGCTCACATTTCCAAGCATGTTCGAGAAAATATCAATAACTACAAAAAACTCCGCGATACTCTATGTCCAACTATTATCGTTATGTCACAATAACCACTTTTAAAAATGTAAAAATGTCCACAGTGGACAGTTAAAGCCCTATCCCGGCTTCGCACGGAAGCCGGGATAGGGCTTTAACTGTCCACTTCTGAACATAAGCCTTCCCC